GTTCTGGTTTTGCAATCTCAAGTCACTTCATGGCTCTCCTTGAAATACTTCTTGGCATTTTCCCATCTCTCTTCAAGTACAGACACCTGCAACTCTGTCTTCAAAAGGCAGCATCCCTTCCCTGAATATACTTGCTCTTCAGAATTAGGGAAATCCTTTCTGTCTCATTGCTCCATCAAGAGCTTGGATTCTGTTACTATGCATGAAGACCTATTAAACTTCTCTGACACTGTGTTGTGAAGATAGCCCCACTTAGGCTTGAGACTGAACCTGAATTCATTTCCAACCACACCACAATATATTTAAATACCACAAGTGCATGATTTTGTGTTTTGTTATTTGTTGGTTTGCATAGTGCTATTTATCAGAGACAGCCCTTAGAGGGTTCATTACATCATTAGTAGTAAACAGTTCAAAGGAATATTCCCAGTCACTGCTGATTAAATTCTTACTGCTGTTACACTGCTCCTTCAGATGCTCTTGGCTCATGACAATTAGCACCATCCTGAATACAGAGCAACAGTCAAGACAGACCATTCCCAACGGTCAGCTGACTGTGGGCACCGAGTATGGAAAGATGGAAAGTTGATGCTATGTGGATACAGGCTGTCCTGTGACATTTGGCAAAGTGACAGATTCATGGAATAGTTAAGGTTGGAAGAGGACTCTGGAGGTGAAGAAAGCAGCCTCAGGAGTGTCAGACCGACTCATCATACACCCCATGCCTTTGCTTCAAAACTCATTTCTGCCACATTATTTTTTCTTTTCTCCAACTAGAGCACTGCTTTGGGCTTTCCCCAGTTTCTCTGTTGCAACAAGGTAGGGTACAGGACTGGAGTTCAGGGACTCCTACACAGGCAACTAAGCTGCCTCTTACTTTCCTGCTGGCTTCTGTAGCCCCAGCTTTGGTAGCATGCAAACAAAGTATGTGGTCATTAGCATGGTGCTTTTCAATCTGTCTTTGCCTTGCTTCAGGATCACACAGTGCACAACTCCCACTGGGAACACAGATGAGACCATTGTTAGCTGTTCTACAGTGATGAGTTGGTGCTCAGATGTTTGTTAAATCAGGGCTGTCACTGGCATCACTCATTCCTGCAGTTGTGGGATGTCTATAATAATCACGGTGGAGTTACTTTTTGCCACCCATACTGAAATGTGAGGAACAAGTCCAAGTTCATCTTTCTTACAGGACAATTCAAAAGCAAAATAAGATGAAAAGATGACAGAACAGGTCAGTTTTGTTGTCTACATATTACCAATGCAAATTTTTTCATGGAAACTCAAAAAACCCCAAACCCTGACTGTATGATTCATAAATACTAAAGGCTGAGGGAAACCAGTAAAATGATTTTGTCTGACCTCCTGCCTCATAAAGACCACAGAATTTCATCCAGTGATTTCTGCCTGAAGCCCAATAATTTGTGGTTCTAACGGAACATCTCGACCGGCCTACTGTCCATCTTTGATGTGAGGATGTCAAATGAGGTGCTAACCACTTCCTGTGCTGTCAAAAACTGGCTCTTCTACAGGTTGTCAGCAGTTCTTCAGCACTGCATAACTTGCCGTAGCCTTCTTGAGGACACATCACTTCTCATGTGTTTTTGCCTTTTCAATCAAAACTCTCAAATCATCATAATGAAGTAAAATAGGGATTCTGAAGCACAAAATACTGAATAAGGACATGCCAAGAGAAAGAAAACAGAGCATCTCAAAATAATCTTTTGTAGCTGTTAAATGGGTGAAATCAACTTTAAAATGCAATTCAAGGTCCACTTGTTTTCCCACTTGAGATAACAAAGTGGAGAAGTTATTTTGGTTAGAAACAAAAATTTTCCAAACATACATTTATCTGTCTGTATGACTTGCTAGGAAAACACATTTATTTGGTTATAAAAGCAATTTTTTTCTACCACTTGTAAAGCTTGCTACAGTTTCACAACAACAAATATTTCCAAAGCAGAGACCTTGAAGAGCTGGAGCAAAATCCACTTCAGAACCATTTACCTAAGACAGGCTCAGTAAAAACACAGCTTGCTGTTAACTGCACCTTCCAACCTTTTGTTTCCATTTTTTTTGTGGTTGGAAGCACTGATGGAGTAGTGAGGACTTTTCCATTTTTTTAAGGAAACAAATCCAAAATGGCAAGAAGAAGGCTGCAAGGCCAGACCCCTCTCAAGTGAAAAGAATTAGGTTGAATATCAACTTAATACAAGCTCTTCCTTCATTGTGCCTTGCAAGTGCAGCATTTGATGACAGTCCTAGTGATAAAAGTTCCTGCACTCACTGACCTTCAAGATGACTCCCACCCCTGGAACTCCAGCATGTGTTTGAGAGTGGGAAAGGATTTCAGGCACCACACCTCAACTCCTGCTCCTGCAAGTAGCCGTTCATCACTAAATAACCATATTCATGTTTAATAAAATCAAGCCAGAAGGTTCATTCCAACAGTGTCTCTTTCATTCCACTTTCAAAGAGATACTTTCTCACCTTTTGCATCTTACCCTCTACCTGCACTTGTGCTGTGGCCAAACATGGGCTGAAAAGCAAAAGCTTGGGGTGGTCGGTGTGGTGCCATTGATAACAGTGCCCAGGGCTTATGCAGGGTGTCTCCAGGGGGCTGAGATCCACACCACATGCTTATAGCCATACTCCTTGTTCAGTTCAGTTAGTGAGGTGATTGCTGCACAAGTGCAAGAGCACCTCTGGCTGTGGCCTTCTCAGCCACCCACAGGCTACTGCTACCCACGTGGCACATAGGAGTATGGCATCACACAGAGCTAAAAAAGCATGACATGATGACTTACGAGTGAGACAATCATTTAACAGTCCAGGTCTACATAAAATATCTAGTGTTTCACCACACGTGAGGCTTCAGTTAAGGCAAACTCCTCAGTGAAGCTGTGGATGCCCCATCCTTGGAAGCATTCAAGGCCAGGTTAGATGGGGCCCTGGTGATGGGGCCTAATCTGGTGGTGGGTGGCAACCCTGCCCACAGCAGCTGGTTGAAGCTGGATGGATTTGAGGGTCTCTTTGAACTCGAATAATTCTGTGATTCTATGATTTTATCATTCAAGGTTTACGGCACAGTCATTCTGCTTGTGGGAACTCATTAAATCCATTTAAATCCTGTTTGTATCTAAGTGTACAGGTGCAAGCCAAACTGATGCAGCCTGTCTGAAACCAGAACACCTGAAGCATTTCTGTACTCGGAGATCTGTGGAAATGAAGGCTGCTGTCATGATGCAAAGATGCTGTATGTTCACATACCTGCACTGGCACTAAGTGGATTCACACTGAACAGTGGCTTAGCTGAAAAGAAATTCCTTTTGTACATACAAAAAGTCTGTGGCACCCCATCTGTCCAAGTTTTGGATAACCAACAGTTACAGCTCTGCTTTTAAAGCATCCATCTTGAAGTATATTAACAGGCAAAAGTGCTGCTTCAATCCCAATAACACAGCAGTGTAGACAACAGGGTGAAACTCTGCAGCCAGCATAACTATAAGCCTCATAGTTTCCACTGATGATACCGTAATGATTTTGTAACTCTCATTTATTTTACACTATTTCAGACGCCAGTTTGTGGCAAATATTTTGCACAAGGAAAAAAAACCCCAAACCCCATCCTTGACAGAAACAGTCCTGGCATGTTTGGAATGTGCAAAACCATAAAAGAGCCATTTCTGTTCACATTACTCCTCATGAAAACCCTTTTCAAAGATTCAGTTTCAGAACCCCTTCAGGATTGTGTTTCACTTTGAGATGCCACTTATCAGCCAAAGCCCAGGTGGGTTTGTGCATCTGACTGTTGTGCATTTTGCTTTGAACTCCTGGACTGTTACAGGCATGGCTACTGAACTGGCTGAGCCATTTTCCCCTCCTCCTTTGTCCCCAGGTTCTGGGTAGATAAAAGCCACACCAGGCTTGCTGCCCTACCAATGCAATTTGACTGTTAATTTTACACTGAAGAAAAACCAAACAACAAAACTCATCACCACACACAGCAATTATCGCCATTACCCACATGAATGCCAGAGCACCCACAAAACCAAACCCAGCTGCAGTATGTATCTCTGGACGTATACAGCAGTAGTTTCTAGTTTTGCAGTTCCCTGTTGCTCTGAAGTGTCCTTTTATCTCTTCATTGTTTCTACAGTTTTTTTCATCCCTGTGACTTGTACTGCTGCTGTGAGCGCAGCATGCAGACTCTTGTTCACTGCTGGCAAAAATGCATAGCTAATGACAATGTCTGTGTTGAAAAATAGTGTTTTGTAGTTGAGAATTTGTTCTATCAAAGAGTGTTATTGTGCTCTTTGCATCTGCTGCAGTTTCCATGGAAACAAATAGGAGGCATTATTTTCAGAGCAAACTACGTAGCTAAACTCTTGCCAGCATCTTCTTGTTTTCCATCTCTTTCTTTTCCTGAGCTCCCTGAAGATTTCTGGGCTCATCTTCCCAGACAGAACATCACCATGGACACATGGCAGTGTATGGTGTGAGGTTCAGATCTAGCCCAAACACCAGAAAATAGTCCTGGGCAAACCTGAAACACAAGGATGTCACCTCCAGTTTCCAGCTATTGCTGATTTTTTTTTCGCATAGCTTGACATAGAGCTTTACAGAATGCGAAGAGACAACAAGAACTCTGGTGGGAAAAACATTAAACACAGTAAATAACAGAAATAAAATAGGTATCTTGCAAGGAACTGAAGAAAGAAAAGGTGAACAGCTAAGCAGGAATTCCCCGGTGGTCTGAGTTTATCTGTGCAATTGAGTTCAAGGCTTTTTTTTTTAGTATGACCTTGATGTGCATACAAAGGATCTTTAACCACAAATATCCTGTTTTGGAAGACAAAAATAAAATAAAATAAAATAAAATAAAAAAGGACTTTTGCTGTGAAGGGTGGAATGAATGGTTTTTGACACTATATGGCATGTCAGAAAGCCTCTCTCCTCGATAATGCAACTCACAAAGGCACACCGTAGCTCCTACTTACTCCCCACCCTGGGGTCAGCAGCCCACGGTGCAGCTCCTCTGTAGTGCTTCCATAGTTAGAAAACCTGAAATTGAAAGAAAAACAAGCAGGTGAGTTTATTTGCATTCCAGAATCACAATTAGCACAACACCAAATTAGCTGGTAGGAAGCGGAAGAGTAAAAAGGAAAACCGCCAACTTTAAAATGCAAATCTTCACACTACAATGGCAAGCCACAACCAGGACTCCTATGGGTGACGAAGGCAGGAACACATTTTTCACTATTTTTTCAATGTGGCCATCTCATGAACTTGACAGAGGCTTGTGATATGTGGTTTCATTCCTATCCCACATATAGTCACATCTTATTTCCTGAATAGAGGACTAACAGAAAAGCAAAAAACCTTCAAAATCATTGTACAGGTCTTTCTGCCTTTCCTTTTTTTTTTTTTTTTTTTTTTTTTTTTTGGTAACTTTGCTGCGCTAAAACCCAGCGTCTTTGAAATTAGTACAATATAAAAAAATGGATATTTTCCCAAGGCTCTTAGATCTTAAAGAATACAGGTAGCTGGTGTCCTCTCAAGCTCTCACACACTATCTGCAGCATAAAATGAAATTTTATGTATTGTGTTTCAGTATGGCATATGTACATATATATACACATACAATTCCTGTATACCAGGAATGGTGCTTCCTCCAATAAACACAGTAAGCAATGTTTGATCATGCTTTGCATTTGTAGCACTCATCTTAGTACTCCAGAACCATCATCAGTCAGAGCTCCACAGAAAGATCAGAGGCAAGTAAAAGCTTGCTTTACAGATGAGTAAGTGAGACAATCATAATTCTAAAAATGCACATCTTTGCATTTTTCTGCAGAACTCACTTCACCATTTTATCTGCCAGGGTTTGACCCGTGCCTCTGAAAAAGTCATGTCATTAGAAGCCAGAAAAAAAAAAGACGGACAAATTAGAGTTCAGTTGAGAAGCACCAGGCTGTCTCATGTAGGCAGACTTGCCCAAAGAGGCTGAGTTCATTTATCCAGGAGAAGGGACACCTTTGAGGAATCCAGCAGCAGCTCCCAGAGCTTCTGCGATGGGACTGAGAAGGCAGAGCTAGGCTCTTCACTGTGGTGTCGAGCAGAAAAATGAGAGCCAATACACTTGAAAGAAGAAGTTCAGACTGGAAGTTGGGAAAAGTTTTTTTATGTGGAACTTGCTATTATTTCCCATTTTTGGAGGTTTTCAAGACTGGACTGAAGTCATACGTAATTTGGCCTAATGTCACATCCAACCCTGCTCTGCACTGATATGGCTAGAAACCTCCTAGATCCCTTTCAGACTTAGCCTGCAGTCCTACAATCCGTCTTACAAATGCTACCAGTGCAGAGACTTTGGAAGAAAGGATGGGGATCATTCAGTAGTCAAGTACTAAGATATCATCCAAGCAAAACAGTTGAGAAAAACAACCATAACTCAAGTCCAGGAGGTCCATCAGGAAGACAGACCAGCTCATTTTACAGACTGTTAACCAAAGGGCATGATAATCACTTTCTGTCTGCTCTTTCCTCAGACTTTCTCTGGACATAAGCTATAAGATCTTCAGGATAGATCAGGTTTCTTGAAGGCCCTAAAAGGTACATCCTCAGCATCACAACTTACATTCCCCTCAGGACATAATAAATCCCACTTCTGCCTCCAGTCCCACCATGACCCGCAAACTGTCCATCTCCATTTGAAAGGAACAGTTTGGGAAGCAGTAGTCAAGGAACCTCTGTTGGTGTCCAATCTGTAGCACACAAACAGCGGTGTTAGAGAGCAGTCACAGCTCCTCCTACTCCCACAAACACACATATTTAGAGAATAAACAGGATTTCCTAAGCCCAGTATACAGCATCAGCTGTAAAAAGACTCTCAGTAATTCCTGAGGCTGCAATTTCTAATACACATAACCAAGACGTCTCAAAAACCCTTCCCTCTGGTCCACCAGTTGCAATATTCTGGTGTGCAATGAGCCAGCTACACCACCAGCATGACCCTCCCCCATTCTCCAGCTCTTGTGTCGTGAAAGGTGTTGGAGCAATCCTTTGCTTCCAGTCAAAATAATGCACGTGGCTAAGGGACAGGAAATGTCACAACCAAGGAGATGAAAAGGAACCTTACAGACAGGGCTGCTGAGCTCTCACTTAGAGGAATTCATACCAACAATGAAGCAACCATCACATGGAGGGGTAGGCAAGAGAGGAAGGAATGGATGAGGAAAGGTTCATTTGCTTGCCAGAGGTCATCCACGAGGTCTGCAACAAAGTCAAGCTTCCCTTTTTTCCCAATGTCTTGATGCTCCCTGCCCTCTTCATGCCTTCTGTGTTAGGGGGCAAAGCTGCTCTACTAACACTGCACGTAACCACGCTTCCTTTGAGAGACCAAAGCTGAAGGGTTGCCAGTTCCCCACCAGAAGTCATTCATGACCAAATAATACCTTTTAACAATGCAAAACTGCATCTACATTGACACTAATCTGACTTTGAAAATACATTCGCTAACTTGCCTTGTGATGCGGTCTATTCTCACAAGGCCTTAGAGGGCTCTAAGGGTTCCACATATAGGTTTTTATACTTGGAAGTGAGACCAATAAGCATTTTTATACTTATCTGCTCAGAGATTTTTATTTTTAGTACAGAAAAGGGTATCAGATCACTCAGTTTCAACTTCTGTCGAAACTCCTGTGTAACCCAGGCTAGCTAATTTAAAGCAGTTCCTACATATTGAGCCCCCATAGTGACTTGTGCTGGCCTAAATTTCTGCAACTGTACCCATACGGACGTCTGTACAAAACAGCAAGAGAAACCACAGCTTAAGTCAAAATTAGTACCTTGGTACAAAAATAAGATTAAAACCCCTACCTCCTCTTCCTCCTGGAGAAGCGAGGTCTTGGAGCCAGTTGTGCCTTTGGAAACAATCTCCCCCTCCTCCTCCCACCCCGTCCTCCTTCGTTGAAGCAATGTCTCTGGGCAATACTTTGCAGCCTTGTTTGATACAGAAGGATGGTTTCTGTCTGGGAAACCAGGCAGACTGAGTCGGAGCAGAGCAGACCCTGGGCATGCAATTACCAAAGTAGCAGCAACAATATGTTAATTCACTGGATCCCTCTGAAATGAAGCACAGTGCGAGTCCCTGGAAAAAGTGAAAAGGAGCCTGTTAAGGAAACTCTGTGAAGGCCTTGTGCACAGCAGCCCCTTGGAGTCTCGACAAAGACAGACTTTGCACAACCATCATTTTTAGAGCATCAGCAGCAGCCAGCATGCCTCCTCTTCCTGCTGCGGTGCATCATACATGGCCAGCAGGAGTGAAGGGAATCACCCCAAGGCCGACAGCTCACTCCTGCTGTGGTCCGTCAGGATGGAGACACATCAGCAAACGACGTCACATGCACCAGAAAAGGAGGGCTAAGCATGGTGAGCTGATACATGGTGAGCTGATATGGTGTAGTGGGCATTGTAGTGATGGGTTGATGGCTGGACTAGATGATCTTACTGGTCTTCTCCAACCTTAATGATTCTATGATTCTATGATACATCCTTATTTTAAAGAACTGCAAACATGTGGACTAGCCCTTGCAAGGAGTGCCTCATCTGTGGCAAGCTCATCCTGCCATGTGCCTTCTCTGCATATCCAGTTTTCTCACACTTCAGCACGCAACAAGGGTGCCTTGCTGCAGGCAGCATTCCTTCCCATTTAGGGGGAAAGGGTTTAAGAAAATCTCTTCTGCCTCTGTCTGCTTGATGGACTATCCACTTGCCCACTTACATGCTTCCAGTGCTGCTTTAAGATGACTACAAACCTCCCTGAGGACTAAACAGTTATTTCCATCAACACGGTTCTAAATCTGTGCAGCCTCTTGTACAGAACTTTATTCTATAATCAATAGATTAAATCTGCCAAGTGGAAGAGCTGTATACTGAGGATCTTTCTGCAGGACACTAACCACTGAGCTGGTATATTGTGGTCAGCTGAACATCTGTGCCAACACAATTCTTCAGGGACATAAAAATAGCTTTCATGCACACATGTAAGTGTTACCCCAGGGAGGAGCAGGCAACCTGGTTAGCTACAAGAAGTGTGGCCCACAGGTTGCTCCAAAACCCCTGGGTTTTCTGCAGGGACAGGATCTAACAGTAGAAGACATCTGACATGCATTGGCCTTTTTTGGATATATATATATATATATTTTTTTTTTTTGAGTACAAGGCTATGAGAAATCATAGTTTGCTCTTTTTTAAAAACGTACCTATTTTGCATGGATTGACCTGTGGTGTCCAAGGAGAACACAGGGAAAGCAGAGCACCATAGTGAAACACAAAGATACCAGAAATCCTGTCCTTGTCTAGACTTGGTTTCTGGCCTTTCACAGTGCTCCTGCTGGCTGTCCCTGAAGCAGAGCACTTCACTGCCCAGTGATGTGTCTCAGACAAGGCAGTTTCCTGAAAAGCACTCACAACACACAGTTAAAAGCTTAGGTTGAGACAAGCAATAAAACAAGCCTGCTTCTGGTTTCTGAGTGTCTCACGCTGGGCTGAATATTCAACGCTTTCCATGTTTACTCACTCACAGGTTATCTGTGCTGCACAATCAGCAAAACTCCTGCAAAACACTTGCTGGGGCTCCGCTACCAGGAGGTCTGTAATGGAGTTGTTCTAGAGAAAAATAGAACTGTTATCGTACCTACGGCTGTCTCAACACAATTAGTCATACATGATGGAGAGATAGGAGTCCTCTCAAGGCTCTTACCGTCTCATCAGCAGCTGAAGTCAAAATGAAAACATCCTAACCATCAACAACCAACATGAAAGCTGAATCATGAATCCTGAAAGCAGCCTCAAAACTATGAAGAGATGCTTCTTCCCCAGAAGCAGACAGCTGGATTCCTTCTGTCTGTCCTGTGTTTCTTCTTCCCCTATCCTTTCCTGACATTGCTCAGTGAAATAACATTTATTTCTTCATCTCCTCACTAGAGCAATCCTTCTCTGCTCCAGCTGAGAGGACTGTGGGGTCAGGAGAAGAAGCTACGCTCGGGGTAGGTAGAAAAGGCCAAAACTTCAGCATCGGAGAACAACGTCCCAGTTGTCTCTTCTGCATGACCTTGGACAAGTTTTCCAACACTGCCTGGCCTCATTTCCCTATTGAAATAGCAAGTTGCCCATTTCACTGAATGACTACCATTAGGATGTGTGTGGTAGCCCTAGTATTACCATCTGGGGGCTAACACTGATAATGTAAAAACCAGAGACTGATGATGTGTCATCTCCTTGTGTAATAACATTAAAATCTTCATTGCAACCTAGACAAAAGTTCCATACAGCACTTTTAAGCCCTAGGACTTACAAAACTCTCTCTGGTCTCATGTAGCTCTGAACATCTTGACCAACAACCTCTACAATAATTACACCACTATCAAGCTCAGGAGATCTATGTTCTCTTCCCTACTTGGCAGGCAGTTCCAACTTCACAAGACGCTGCATTCAGACTAACAGACAATGAATATGACTGCAAAACAAGAGGAAGGAATCGGGTTCATAACTGGTACGAGAGTCAGAACATGTGGATGCAGTATAGCTGTTGGACTTCTCAGAGGTCACTTGTCCAGGTGGTACAGTCCAGACTTCACCTGGATCCCCATGGCTACCTTCTGTGGGGAGGAATCTGGTACTTGGCAGGAACACACGCAGGAACGTGCTATGATGGGGACAGGAGCAGAAACCCAGGGTCTGTCTTTATAATCTTCATTAATCTCCTGTTTTAGAGGCCTTCCAACCAGTTCACAACAACTCCATACAATGCTATAGGCTTGGGTCAGAGTGGCTGGAAGGCTGTGCAGAGGAAAAAGACCTGGGGGTGTTGGTCAGTGCCCAGATGAATGTGAGACAGCAGTGAGTCCATGTGGCCAAAAAGGCTCATGGCATCCTGGCTTGTATCAGACCAGCAGGAGCAGGGAAGCAATCATCCTTCTGTATTCAGCTCTGGTGAGGCCGCACCTTGAGTACTGCATTCAGTTTTGGGCCTCATTGCAAGAAAGACATCGTGGCCCTGGAACGTGTCCAGAGAAGGGCAGCAAAGCTGTGAGGCGTCTGCAGCACAAGTGTTACGGGGAGAGGCTGAGGGAACTGGAATTGTTCAGTCTGGAGAAGGGGAAGCTCAAGGTAGACCTTGTAGCTCTCTGAAGCTACAAGGAGGTTGGGGTGAGGTGGGGGTCGACCTTTTCTCCCAGATAACTAACAATAGGACAAGAAGTGGCTTCAAGTTCCACCAGGGAAGGTTCAGTTTGGCTATCAGGAAAACGTTCTTCTTTGAAAGATTGGTCAGGCACTGGAACAGGCTCCTCAGGGAGGCGACGGACTCATCATCGTTGGAGGTGTTGAAGAACCACATTGAAGTGGTACTTAGGGATACGGCTTAGTGGGGGAATATTGGTGGTAGATGGACAGTTGGACAAAATGATCTTAGAGATCTTTTTCAGCCTTAATAATTTTATGATTCATTATTTGATTCTATGATTCTAGCATTTCTTTCAAGAGGCAATCTCCAATACCACACCATAACTCAAACTCAATACCAGATCTCTCAGCTCTGAGCCCCAGCAGTCTTTCTGAGGTGATAATTCCAAGGCAAGACCTTGCTGAAACCACACATCCATGCAATCATCAAAGAGCAGAGGAGAGATATGACTAGAGCAGAACAATTGCTGCAGGTTGCCATGGTAGTGTGCATGGCTGATTTTATCATCCTTATCAGCTGCAACAGCATTTAGGCCTATTATCAAAGAATACCAGCATGTTTTTTTTAAAGGTGCAATAGGTGGGAGAAGCAGAAAACCAGCACCAGGCAGAAGTCAGCATCCAGCACACAAAGCCAGAGCTGAGCAAGCTGCCCACGGGCAGACAGCCATTGATCCAGCCCTGAATTTGTGCCAGAGCACAGGGGTGATGCAGGACACCCCAGCAGCTCCCAGCTCTTCCTGATGGATGTACCCAGGTCAGGCAGACAGAACGGAGGCACAGTGCCGGTGAGAGGAACGCGCTTGTCTGTGCTCCCCACAGAGCTGATGAAAGTAGGTCAATGTTTCTGCCTTGCTGAGCCTTTTGGCAGGTCGGTGCCACGCTGCCACTGCCGCTCACAGCTGATAATTTGTGCTGCACAGCAGACATCTCGTTCAAAAGTTAACGTATTCAATACATCTAATTAAATCAACCTTGGCATTTATTCAAAACCTTTCTCATTGTTTCTTTTTTTTTTTTTTTTCCCTGTGTCATTTGGTTGTTGTGTGTGCAGGTTTTTTTTATTCCCTACTCTCAGTGGCAAAGAGATACAAGAGAAGAGAGATGAGAGAGGGTTGCTAAGGGGCGAGCTAGCTTTCATCTTTTGGCTGTTTCCCCGCTGCTTTCCTGACATCACGGAGATGCTTTGTCTTCCTCTCGAAAAAGTGACAAGCCCACATGGCATCAGTGCTTACGACCCTTCCTCCCGCCTCTCATCAGACAAAATGACCTTTTTCTGTCTTCTCACAAGCTTTGTAAACAGAGACACGCTCTCATGAGAGAGCTTTTGGCTCTGCCACTGACATTCACTGCCCTGAACATGTGCCTGGTGGATGTGTCCTCTCTGTCCTCCTGCCCAGCACTGTCCCTTCCTGGGGACAGCTCCTGATCGCAGGATCAACCTGCACTGTATGAATTATTCTCAAGCTGGACTGTACTCCCCAGTTAGGGTCTTGCAAGGTACTGGAGCAATAGGCTCTAAAAGCAAGCAAAGGACATGGCTGGCAAAAGAAGGCACATCAAAGCCCAACCCGCTGCAGCTGGGCTGTGCTGGACACCTCAAGGTATGATCATGATCTTCCACAACCACTATGAGCAAAGACAGAGGGATCGCTGCCTGGCCTGGGTATCCTCCAGATGCAATTTTGTGCAGCTCCAGAGCACCTCCGCACGCTGGCTCTGCATGATGGATGTGGTCACCAGCAGAGTCCTGCCTCATTCACCAGCTCATCCTCAGGTGTAACTGCAGGAGCTTGGATCATCCCAGAAGAATGAACTGCCTTGCATCCTGACTCGTATCAGAAATAGTGCAGCCAGTAGGACCAGGTGATCCATCCTGCTGTACTCAGTACTGGTGGTTGA